TGTTTTGACGGACGTAAACTTAACAGTATAACCATGAACAGAGATGCGTATCCTATACTTCGTATAGATATCATCTTGAGTAAGTTACAAAATGCTAAATTCATTTCATCTATTGACTTGAAGAAAGCATTTTTACAGATTCCACTGAGTGAAGAGAGTAAGAAACTCACTGCCTTTGCAGTCAATGGAAAAGGATTGTATCAGTTCACTACAATGCCTTTTGGTCTTGTGTCTGCTCCGCAGACTATGTGTCGGTTAATGGATTTGGTAATTGGTCCTGCTTTAGATCCTTTTTGACAGTATTATCTTGATGATATTCTGGTTATTACTCCTGATTTGGAAACCCATATCTCTGTATTGCAGCAGTTGTTTCAGCGTTTAAAAGATGCAAATTTGACTATTAATTTAGATAAAAGTAGCTTTTGTCGTGAGTCTATTAAGTTTTTGGGATATGTTGTAGATTCACATGGTCTCCATACTGATCCTGATAAGGTATCAGCTATTCGTGATTTTCCAGTGCCTAAAAATACCACTCAGGTCCGTCGATTGTTAGGAATGGTGGGTTATTATAAAAAAATTGTCAAGTCTTATTCTACCTTGTTGTCCCCTATCACTGATCTACTTCAAAATAGGAAAAAGGGACAAAATATTGTGTGGACTCCTGAAGCTAATGAAGCTTTCATTAAAATCAAGGAGGCTCTCACAAATTCCCCAGTTATGGTAGCACCGGATTTCTCTAAGCCTTTCTATTTGATGACTGATTGTTCAAACAGAGCATCTGGTGGGGTACTCTATCAAATTGTTGATGGAGAAGAACATCCTATAGCCTACACCAGCAAGAAATTAAATAAAGCCCAGAAAATTATACTACATATTTGGTTAGGTTAGAGTGCCCGTTTATGCGTAACGCCCGGTTATTTTATACTTAACTCTAATTAAAATTATGATTTTTAGGACCCAAACAAAAGGACAAATTCAAAACCTGCTCAGAGAAATACCCAAAAAAATTGATCTTAAATGATACCATTATTGAACTGTTTGTAGTGCTATCAGTGTTTAGTGAACTGTTTGTAGTTATCAGTGTTAAAAGTATAGAAAACTGTTCGTAGTGTTATCTATTATGCAATTTCTAAATGGTCCTATTTCTTCGAAAAACTGATTAATATATAATTTCAATGTTCTAATATTTGTTCTTGAGCATGGATATAGTTTAATAAATTTTGTGTATAAATCAACTATCACTAGTGTATGCTTGTTTCCTGTTGGACTGGGAACTAAATTTGAGATGAAATCCATGGCAACTGTATTTAGTTTTTCATATGCAACATTGGATTTATATGTGTTCTGGTTTTTAAAATTCTTTTCTTTGTTTATTTGACATATTTGGCATAGGGTAGTAATTTCTGTTGCTATACTTATGTCATTCTTTGCAAAATAATTATCTCTAAATAACATCCAGAGTTTTCTTGAACCAATATGCATGTAACTTTTATGTAGATCTTTCAATATCTTCCTTGCCAAAGTTCTACTTATTACATATACTTCTAAGCCATTAATTATCATATAGTACATCCCATCCTTCTTAAGAACTTTTTGTTTTTCACTCAAATTGATCTGATCTCTTATGATTTCTTCTTTAAAATATAATCCAGTGTTTTCTACTAACTGACAATCCAATTTTTATTGTTCGCTGCCCTTTTTGTGATGTATTTTCTAACCTTGATAAAGCATCTGCCACTATGTTGGATTTTCCAGAAATGTATTTGATTTCAAAACTGTATTCACTCAGTATTAGACTCCAATGGTGTACTCGACTGTTTCCATATTTGTTATTTAATATAGATGTTAAAGCTTGGTGATCTGTTTCTATAGTAAATTCATTACCCAACAAATAAAATCTTAATTTTGTGACACAATGTATGATACTTGCTAGTTCTAGTTCTGACACTGAATAACCTTTCTCATGTGGCTTTGTAATTCTTGAGATGAATTGTATCGGGTATTCGTCCCCATCATGTATTTGTAGTAATACCCCTGATAATCTCTCTATTGAGGCATCTATTCTTAATACGAATGGCTTTGTATAGTCAGGATGGTATATTTTTAAATTTGACAGAAAAATGTTTTTGATTTCTTGGAATGCTAGTTCTCTTCGTTGATCCCATTTTACACCTTTCTTCAACAGTTCAAGTAATGGAATTTCTTTTATACTTAGATCTGGTATCATCCTTTTATAATAATTAATTATTCCAATAAATCCTCTTAAAGTTCTTCAATTGTGTGGTCTTTTATATTCCTGAATAACCTGTGTCTGTTCTGGATCCATTTCAATTCCCTTAGTAGGGGAGTAGTTAATTCCGTAGTTTATAACTAACATATATTACTTCTTTTTGGAAAAATGTACATTTTTCTTGATTTATTTTTAGTCCAATTTTGTCTAATCTGTTGATTATTTTTTTAGGTGTTTCTCATGCTCTTCAGCTGTTTTAGAAAAAATTAATATATCATCAATGTAGTAAATTACAAATTGTTCATATTGATCCAAAATATCATGAAGACATCTATATAGAGCACTGCAAGATGATTAAAGTCCAAATGGTACTACTTTGAATTGATATACTACTCCATCTATCTGAAATCCTGTATACTGTCTACTTTTTCTTTCTAGAGGTATTAACCTCTAGAAAGTATGTGTGTAAAGATGGCGGCGTGTGATACAACCATGTTAACGACTGAGTTAAATAAATTAAAGAAAAATGAACTAATCGACATAATTGTGACGTTAAAAGTACCAGTGAATGTTGCAAATCCACAAGTGATTGCCTATATAAATAAAATTGGTGAATTTGTAAACAGCAAGAGCGACAATAAATCTTATGATTTGCTAGATAACATAACCTGTTCCCACTGTGACACATTATCAGACAGGACCATTTCCATTAAAAAGGAAATTGACGCTGTAAGTAAACTTACATATCATCTAGAAAAAAGGTGCCAAGAACAAGAAGATTTAATTTTTCTCCTAAAACAATTAAAAGAGAATTCAGATTTACCAAAGATACATATAACGCCATCTACTAATACTATTACGAACTCCAAAACACATTATAAGACCAATTTAAATATTGCCGAAAATAAGAAAGAAGAACACAAACAAAACTTTATGGGCAGAGCAGCAAAAAGTGAACTGGTAATTACTCAGAAAAAGCCTGACGTAAATAAACAAGGGAATTCCCAAACAATAACAAAAACAGATGTTTCGAAAGGACTGCTTTTTGAACAAAACAGATTAAAAATGGATCAGTTCATTAATTTAGTACAGGACGAAAAACCAACTAACGATGAAATACATATAAATGAGGCAAAAAATGATCAAGAATGGAAAACTATTAAGCCTAGGCGACATCAGTTTAACGGACGAAGAAAAATTATAGTAGGTAGCAATAGAGATAGCGATGAGGTTACGGGTGTTCCAAAAATTTCAACTCTACATGTTACAAGAATTAATAAAGAAACTACAACTGACTCTCTAACAAAATTAATTAAAGTGAATTTTCCTGAAGCAACATGTGAAATGATTCAATCAAAACATCCAACTATTTACTCTTCGTTCAAAGTAAATATGTGTTCAGGGAACTTCAACAAGGCCATGAATCCCGAAGTTTGGCCTCACGGAGCTGTTGTAAGTCGTTTTTTTTTACCACAAGAAAAAACAGACAGAGGAAGCTTAGTTTTTGATCCAGATATTACATTATTAAATATCCCAAGTGTTAGTCAGAAAACTGGTTTTAAATTGGATAAGTTAGAAGTATTCAATTCTCCTAATTTTGACACAGTTGGTAAAAATGCTTCACCTTTCGATCAAAAAAGTTTTGGCTTACTTCATCAAAATATACAATGTATATCAACAAGCATTGAAAAATTAGAGTTCTTCCTGCAGTGCGAAGGTCTACATAATATATGTGTCTGTTTAACTGAGCACTGGAAATCTAAAGAACAACTAGAACTACACCATATAAATGGATTTTCTCTGGCTTCATCTTTTTGCCGTGACCAAGGGGAACATGGAGGATCTTCAATCTATGTGAAAGACGGTGTGGTTTGGAAGGAACGTTCTAATATATGTTCTCAATCTGAGAAATATAATTTTGAAGTGAGTGCTGTTGAAATAGACTATTGCCTTTTTAATTGTGTTGTGTTTTGTATTTATCTGACTGGACGTAGCTCTATTGATGTTTTTATGTCAAAACTGGATCTAATACTTGATGTGATAGTCTCCGAAGGCAAGGCTATAATATTAACAGGTGATTTTAATATAGATTTCAAATCAAATGCATTAAGTAAGCAGAACTTGGTGAATGTTTTAGATTCTTATGGCTTAACTGTAAATGTGAATGATTATATAAGAGTAACTGCAATCAGTAAAACTCAAATTGACTATATTGCTACAAACATAAATCACCCACAAAAAACAATGGTTGTGGAAGGTTTTATCTCTGATCATCGTGCGCAAATGTTCCAATGTAGCATTAACACAGACAATGATGCCTATATATTCATCCGTTCATATAGTGAAAGGAACATAAATCGTTTTGTTCAAACCCTTGAGTCAACAAATTGGTCAGAGGTATTTAATACAATTTCTGTTGAGGATAAATCATTAGCTTTTTTAAATACTATCCAAAATTACTTTCGGTCCCATTTTCCACTACTTAAATGTAAACCTAAAAAATGTACACGTTCGAATTGGTTTACGCAGGAACTGTACAATTTAAGGGATCAGCTAAAACTTTTAGAAACGATCTGTCAGCAAAATAGTAGTCTTAGGCCAGTCCTTCATTTGGCAAAGGCAGAATATTCAATTAAATTAAAAGCTGCTAAAAGTAGTCACTTCATGAGACAGTTAAACGAATCATCAAATAAAATTAAATGTATTTGGCGTTTAGTAAACTTAACAGTCGGGAAACAAAATAACTCAAAAGTACCTAGTGATGATAACAGTAATTTAGCAGACAAATTTAACCAGCATTTTGTTGAAATGGCTCCAAAGTTACTTGCCGCTTTGGATCCTACTAAAATAGATGGGTTTACATCAGCATCAAAAAACCGTAATAGTTCTTCTATGTTTTTATATCCAACTAACCCACAGGAAATAACTAGTATAGTCGGAAGTTTTAAATCCAAACACAGTTGTGGTTTTGATCAGATTTCCCCTAAGTTATTAAAACAATGCATTCATGCTCTCGCAGATCCACTGACGGATATTTGTAATGCCTCTTTTCAACAAGGAATATTTCCTAGTATGTTTAAACTATCTATTGTAATCCCTTTATTCAAAAGTGGTGATAAAGATGACCTTAACAACTATCGTCCCATAAGTCTCTTATCTGTGTTTTCAAAGATAATTGAAACTCTAGTTTATACTAGAATGAACGCATTTCTGAAAAAGCATAGTGTCTTGCATAATTTTCAACATGGTTTTACATCTTCTAAGTCTACAACTACAGCTCTTGCAAATTTCGTCAGCTTAGTGTTGGATGCTTTGGACAGACGAGAAAAGGCATGTGGTTTATTTCTCGATTTGTCCAAGGCTTTTGACACTTTGGATCATAATTTGTTGCTAATAAAACTTGAGGGGATTGGTATTCGTGGTATAGTTCTAAAATGGTTTACTTCCTACCTAGAGAATAGAAGACAAAAAGTAAAGATAACATCTAATGGACTTGTAAACGAATCAAACACATTGGATATCCATTATGGTATCCCTCAGGGTAGTGTATTGGGTCCTCTACTTTTTATAGTATTTATTAATGATATAACTTTGGTAACTAATTCACTGACTGGGGTTAACATTATCAGTTATGCGGATGATACCAACATTCTAGTCACAGGAACGTCTGATCAAAATTTGCAAAATAAAACTTCACAGATACTATCCACCATCAAAAGTTATTTCTTATCCAACAAATTAGTTTTGAATGAAGAGAAATCAAAGTATATGATTTTCACGTCAAATAATTTATTAAACCATCAAGCCACTATAGAAGCAGCAATAGATAAAACAGACTGCACGAAGTTGCTGGGGGTACTTCTAGACAGTAATTGTAAATGGTCAAACCACATTTCTAATTTGAAATCCAGATTAAGTAGCGCATGTTATGCATTAAGAATTCTTTCACGTCTCTTTCATACATCAATATTAAAAACAGTATACTTTGCCCATTTTTACTCAATAGCCAAATATGGCATTGAAGTCTGGGGTTGTACCTCTGAATTAGAGCAGATATTCGTACTTCAGAAAAGAGCTATTAGGATAATGTATAAAATGAAATTTAGAGATTCTTGTAGAGGCATCTTTAGACAAAACAATATTCTGACAATTCCTGGTCTGTATATATTTTCGTGTATAATGTATTTGCATAGCAAAATTTATGAATTTAATAAATTTCAATTTAACCATGTTTATTCAACAAGATTCAGAGACAATCACTTTATGCTTCCACAACATCGTTCTGTTTTGTTGGAAGGTAGCACACATTATGCAGCCATAAGTTTCTTTAACAAATTACCAATAGATATACGAATGAATTTACATCAGCCAAACTTTCGGAGGTGTGTACATCAATACATTTGTGAGCTAGAGCCATATTCTAAAAATAATTTTTAAGTATGTTTTATCGTGTTTAATTAATTTATATAATTTTAAGATTTATGTCTGTATTTTTGACTTGTCTCATACATGTACTTTGTATAATGTCGCATGTGATCAATAAATTTGACTTGACTTGACTTGACTAACCAGAAACTATGCTGTGAATCAATTTTAGTGAAAAATGACATTCCTGTAATTCGTCCTAGTATTCCATCTATACTCATTGGTGCTTCAAATTGCTTTTCAGTGATCTTGTTAATATTCATTGCATCCAAACATAGCCTAATTTCACCTGATCTTTTACGTACTACCACTATAGGGTTTATGAAACGTGTATCTGCCTTCTCAATGATTCCATCTTCTAACATATTATTGATCGTTCTATTTACTTCTTCTCTGTATTTATATGGTATTGGGTATGATTTTGTTTTAAAATCTTTTTCTTCTTTAACTTTTATACTATGGATATAATTTTGTGCAATTCTATTTTCTTTATTGACAAGTCCCTTGTGTTGCTGCAATATGGAAACGACTATTGATTTATATTCTTCATGGCAACTTAAAACTTTTATTATATCTTCTTCTTTACAAATAAAATTATTTTTTATTTTGCAATCATTATTCCTTGCTTCCAGTTTTACGCACTCCACCTCGTAGGCATCCATCTGCTTAAAATTTCCATTCCTTAAATATTCACTACAATTATTCTTTACATTCTTTTGGGACATCTCCCTATCATCAAAATATATTTCTTCTTCATAAACATCATTGCTTTCTTTTAATAATATCCTATCAACTCTTATGTCTTCTTCCACCTCATCTTTCTGCATAAACTTAATTATTTGCCCTTCCAAAGTTACAACTTTTTCTTCAAAATCTATCTTTACTTTCTTCTTTTCCAATTCGTCATTTCCCATTAATATATCAACACATAAATCCTTGACAACAAATCCTTGCATATTAATTTCTTTATTAATAATATTAATTTTAAAATTGGCTAGTTTATCAATTTCACCCAACTTCTTATTATTTGCACCAACAATTTTAATTTTTGGAATCTTTATT